TAGTTGTTAGGTAACAAGTTTTGGTTGTGATGAATGGATTGATGAGTGGCTATCAAAAAAGAGAGTGGAAAAAGGATAGGTGTGAGGAGTGGGTTTGTTGTTATGTTTGGAAAAGAAACTGTGAGTGCAAGGAAATTGTTGAAGGAAAAGACAAGAAGATGAAGCCTAAATTGTAGTTTACAAGTGCTTTAACTCATGGAAATTGAAATATGCCTTTCAACAACCCTAACAGTATTGTTTTTGTTAGGAAGATCAATAAAGTTTCATTTCCTTTTAAAAACTGAATACAAATATTGCTTCTTGTTTCTCATTACACACTGCAGTTTTGAAAGATGCACTACCAAGCATGTTTACTTGAATGGAAAATGATGGCAAAACACCACTCTCCCATTTCCTTGTGGTTTTCTTTCATGTTTTCTTCACTTATTTCTATTTGGTTAACTTAAGGCAAATTGAAGTTTCCTTTTCCCTTTTCAACTTTTTCTTGTCTTGTTGTAATGGTATTAGCTTTACTTATTTCCATTATTCTGGTTGGTGTGAATGGGTTGAGCCTCTTTTGTTTGTTTTTATTTAAGAGGTTTAATTTTATCTTATTAATTCATAGTATGACTTCGTTTGAATTTTCTAAAACAAGTCATTCTAGTCAAACTCTTCCATCGGGTGACTTTGATAATACTAACCTTGCTGCTAGTAGTAAAGTAAGATTGATTGGTAAAAGAAAACGCTCTAAAGGTGGTTCAGATGTATGGGAACATTTTGTTAGAGTAGAAGGATGTGATATTGAATTTCCTAGGGCTGCTTGTAAATATTGTGGAACTACATATGCATGTGATTCTAAAAAGAATGGGACGACAAATTTGAAAAAACACTTGGAGAAATGTAAGAAGTACACTGAGGATTGTGTTGAAGGAGCGGGAGATTCTGAAACAAATTTGTTAGCTACATCGTTTACTCAAGAGAATTGTAGAACGATGCTTGCTTGTATGGTCATATTGGATGAATTGCCATTTAAGTTTGTCGAAAGTGAAGGATTTCATAAATTTTGCAAGGCATTGAATCCTAAGTTTATAACTCCATTAGGAATCACTGTTGCAAAGGACGGTTTTCAATTGTACATGGATGAGAAAAAGAAGTTAAAAAGTGCTTTAAGTTGAAGTGGTCAACGAGTTTGTTTAACGACTGATACTTGGACTTCAGTCCAAAATATTAATTATATGGTCATAACAGCTCATTTCATTGATGGTGATTGGAATTTACACAAAAGAATTTTAAACTTTTGTCAAATAGCTAATCACAAAGGAGATACCATAGGAAGAGCAATTGAAAAATGCTTGCAAAGTTGGGACATTGACAAAATTTTTACTGTGACGGTTGATAATGCTAGCTCAAATGATGGAGCAATGACATATTTGACTAGAAAGCTTAAGGAGAGAAACGTGTTGGTGTTAGATGGTGAATTTCTCCATGTTCGATGTTGTGCTCATATCTTAAATTTGATTGTTGGTGATGCTTTAAAAGATTTGCATGTATCTATCGTTCGTATTAGAAATGCTGTAAAGTATGTTAGGTCATCTCCTACAAGATTGCAAATATTTAAAGATTTTGCTAAAGAAGATAGCATTTCAACAAAGAGTTGTCTTACTATGGATGTCCCAACACGATGGAATTCAACCTTCACTATGTTGGATGGAGCAATTAAGTTCAAAAGGACCTTTGAAAGATTAGAGGATCATGACCGAAATTATATTGCAGAAGGTGACAGACCAACTAATGAAGATTGGGATAATGCTAGAGTATTCGTAGGGTTCTTGAAAATATTTTCAGATGTTACTCTAAAATTTTCAGCATCCATGTCCGTGACTTCGAATATATTCTTCCACGAAGTGTGTTTGGTTCAGGAAACAATTCGTGAATACTCTTTGTATAAAAATTACTTGTTGAGTAAAATGGCATTAAGAATGCAAACAAAATTTAACAAGTATTGGGGTGTAACAATTCATTAGTTGGTCTGTCACCTTCTGCAATATAAAATTTAACAAGGATGGAGCAATTAAGTTCAAAAGGACCTTTGAAAGATTAGAGGATCATGACCGAAATTTTATTGCAGAAGGTGACAGACCAACTAATGAAGATTGGGATAATGCTAGAGTATTCGTAGGGTTCTTGAAAATATTTTCAGATGTTACTCTAAAATTTTCAGCATCCATGTCCGTGACTTCGAATATATTCTTCCACGAAGTGTGTTTGGTTCAGGAAACAATTCGTGAATACTCTTTGTATAAAAATTACTTGTTGAGTAAAATGGCATTAAGAATGCAAACAAAATTTAACAAGTATTGGGGTGTAACTACAAGTGAGAAGATCAACTTATTGTTATATGTTGCAGTAGTTTTTGACCCTAGATATAAGTTAAATTATGTGAGTTATTGCTTTCATGAATTTTTGGAAGAAGAAAGTGCAAATTTGTGGACAAATAAGGTTGAAGCAACATTACGTCAATTGTGTGATGACTATTATACAAGACTGTCAGTGACAAAGGAATATCACTCTCAAACACAATCGACACCCGTAGAAACATCAAGTGGTCAAGGTGAAATACCATCTAATTCTTCTAGTGCATCTTGTGGAATTGGAATTTATAAGGTACGTGCTGCTGTTCATGATAGATATAAACAGAGTAAAAAAAAAGATTCATATGATGGAAAAACAGAAGTCACTCGTTCTCATCTAAACAGAAGTCACTCGTTATCTAGATGAGACTTGTGCTGAAGATGAAAATTTTGATTTATTAAACTGGTGGAAGGTGAATTCTAGTCGACTTAAGGTTATTAGCCAAGTAGCTAGGGACATCTACAACATTCCTATATCTACTGTTTCATCTGAGTCAGCTTTTAGTACTAGAGGACGGGTATTGGATTCTTTTAGGAGTTCATTAACTCCTCAAACTGCAGAGGCACTCATTTGTGCTCAAAATTGGCTTCAATCTAAACCTCTTGATGACATGTGTGAAGAAATCGATGGAGTAGAAGAAATTGATGAAGGTAAGCAGTCATGTCATTATAATATTTGTTTGAAAATTTTATCTATTTCATGAATTTTGATAAACTGATTGTTTTTCTTTCTTATTTAGAATACTCAAGCATACGTAAGGAGATGGAAGTTGCATTCGAAAACATGAAATTCAATCCTACAGTTTTAACTTCTACTCTCAAATATCGTTTATCTCTATTTCATTAATAATTTATTTTATACTATATATTAAGTAACAATTCTTGTTTCTTTTGTAGAGTTCTGAAGTCTAGAGATGGAACTGGAGTCATGATAGAAATTGAGATTTAACTTGTTACATTTTGTAGTTTTTATTAGAGTTTTGTAAATCTCATTATTGGAATATTTGTTTACTTAAAAAGATATTTAGAATCTTGTTTCTTTCAACTTCTAGACACTATCTTTTAAACTTCGAAAGTAGATGTTATATACGTGATCACGTATTTTAATACAAATGTAATGTTAGGTTTGTTAGAACATAATTTAAAATTTACACAGGAATGAAGGGAGAGAAAAGGGAGGAATGAAGGAAGGAAAAGAAGAAGAAGAACTAGAAAGAAAGAAAGGGGGAAAAAAAATGGGTTCGGATTTCGGTTATTTTTCCCTGACCGAAAACCGAACCGAACCGCCAGGTTTTCACCCCTACTCAATGATGATCAACATATATTTACAACTAAGAGATTATGAGTTCGATCCCAACCCCATGTAAATACGAGGCTTTCGTTCGTTTCCGGATTTGATAGTGCTGCATGTTTGGGCAACTCATTTCTTCACAAGGATTAAAAAAAAGAAAAAAACCTCATTTATACATAAGAAAGAAGAAAGAGATGAAAAAAACAGGGAAAAAGGAAAAAAAAACCATGCGTGTGCGTCTAGAATTGCAACTGAAAACAAGTGGTTGCGATTAATCGGTGTGAATGAGAAACCAATTTCACGCACGATTCCATCATTCCATCTCCAACGGCGTCCTCTAATTCTCTCTCTCAGGTCTTCCTCCGATTTAATTCGATTCCTCTCTTCTTTTTTCATCTGCTCATCCCATTCGATTTTCCGATTTCCGCTGTAATCAATTGTGATCTTCTACTTCCAATTTCAGTTGTCCTGAATTGCTGAAACCGACGGTGTTTTTTTGTTTGGCAGATTATGACGAGCGTTACGTTGGGGCACGGGAGCAATTGGTCGCCGGGCATTGGAATTCGAGAGCATTTGGGGAGAGCAAACATTTCTAGGGTTTCGTATTCCGAATATTGTCGTCCTTTTGTTCCATCCAGAGAAACAACAATTACTACTCCCCATGGGAATCGTCTTGCTTACTGTCGCCGGCGGCGGAGCGGACGGCGACACAGACCTGTTTTCGCCGGCGGTTCGGTGGACGGTGCGGCGGATCCAGATGACTCCGATGCTGGGCTTAACGAGAGTGACAGTCCCGAAGCCGAAAATCGAGAGGTAATTAGTTGAGTTCACCATTAAGCTTTGTCAATTATAAATTTAGAAAATACTTAGCTTACGGTGAGGATTATCTTATGCTGACGTTTAATATATTTCACAACTAAATAGGTTCTTATCTAATTATTTTTTTGGGTAGGTTAGATGAAATATTAGTTTTTATTTAGAATAATTTAGTCTATTTAATTTATATAGACACCTTTGGTCCTATTAATAAAGAACAATCCTTAACAAGATAGAGAGATCAATAAAGATACATATAAATAGTCAATAGATTTGAAGAAATGAATTCAATTCATGATGGCCAGTCACCCACTAAGGATTTGACATCATAATCATTTTGGCAACCAAATGCAGTAGGATTAAGGCTAGACACTCGCCTCGCTCATATCAAAGAAAAAAAAAAATCTTAAACAATGACTAAATTGTTATAAATTTTAAACTATAGAGATTAAATTGGTTGTAAAATTTGTATACAATTTTCTAAATATTTTTTAAAATTCAAAAACTAGAAAGAAAGAAATAGGAAACTCCTTGATTACTCTTTCAGCTTTGCATTACAATCGTTTATCATCACTTGTCACTATGGTAGAAGTAGCAGCATTTTTTAGTTGGTATTGGATCAATTGTCCCTTTGGAGACATTTGAGCAATTTGCTAGAAACAAAAAGTGAAAATTTTTCTCCAGTTGAGTCGGAATTTAGATCAATTGTCCTTTGGAGAAATATTTGAGTAATTTGTGAAAAGGAAACGAGAAACAAAAAAATAAGAAACGGAAATGTTTATTGAGTTAGTTGCTTCAGTTTCAGATGAACTTCGACATGCTTAGGGAAAATCTGGAGCGATCTGTTGGAACAGATGATTCCAGATTCAGTGGAATTGATCTAGCTACTCTAATCAGGAACAAGTATGGCAGATCTTATGACGTTCAACTAATAAAGAAGGTATTCGACTTTTGTTTCTTTTAACTTCTAGAATATTTACGTTTTTTATTTCTCGTTTCTTGTTCCGACCATTCGTTTCTCATTTCTCAGAATGTTTCTAAAATTGTATAGAAGTTTTAGAAACAAATAATCAATTTTTTATTTCAAAATATAGATAAAAATATTAATTTATTATTTATTATTTTGAAAATGTATAATAAATATTAAAAATATATATGACATACGAAGTTCAAACATCATGATTGCCACTTACCTACCTTAGGAATCAATTTCTAAATTAAATTTCATGTAAAACTTTTACTTTTTCTTAATCTAAAATGTTAGAGAACAAGAAACAAAAAATGACTACTTTTTTGTGTCTTTTTTTAATAAAAATGGAACAGTTACCAAAAGTAGTTCTTTTTTTTTCTTTTTTTTTTATTGAAAAAGAAGAAACAAGAAACAAAAAATAGAAACAAAGACGTTACATTGTACATATTTGAGTTTTCACTATGTATTATCGACAATATTGAAAGGCTTCTCTGATATAATTATGAAGTCAATTAGTTCCTAATTTTTAACTAAATCATGGATTTCTCATATTGTTTTTGTTGTCCTATAATTCAGGAGTTCATGGGACGAAATCTTCTAGCTTTAAATGTCATGTGGAAATACAGGGAGCAGGTATGCAACACTCCGGTCTCCGCTCCTACTTTTTCACCAAAATCTTTAATCAACTGCAAAATTACGGGAAGCTACCAATGAAAAATAAAAATAAGGATACAAATAAACCAAACTTAATGTAGAGAATGAAAGGAAGCTTAAATATTACATGTAAAAAACCTCCCAATTAGAACAAAATCATGCTAGGAGAATAATTTGCAAAGAGATTGGAGAGAGCATACCATTGTAAGGCTTTATTTTCCTCACAATTCGAAAGAATTAGGGGAGTGTCATTTCATTTTAGTATCGAGAACAAACAGGTTCAAGAGATAAGAGAATTAAGGATACCCACCAGAAAGACTAATGGTTTATGTCCCTCGGTGTCCGAAGTGTTTTGTAATTATCCCTTAGGTTTGATTTTGCTTGATTGGAGTCCATTCTTTTAGTTTGGCTCCTCTCGGTGTATGTCCCTTTGTATTCTCTCATTTTTCTCAATGGAAGCTTGGCTTTTCAAAAAAAATATAAAAAATAAAAATGTATCACATAATAGAACTACCCTGGACAATTAGGACGTGGCCTATTTTACTAGAAGTTCTTTCACTGCTGCTGTACAAAATTAATTGGCTAGATATATGTTCTAGTCTTTAATAATGTTTTGGTATATTTTCAATTTTTTATAAGAAAACGGAGAGATATGTATTAAGCCACAAAAAAGGGGGGCAGCCTAAGGCCCGAGAGTGGAGGGAACTCCTGCTTGAAGCTTCTACACAAGAATGGCCATCCAATCTGAAATAATCATCAAAAGGCTATAACTTTCTAGAAGAAATGTCATCAAGAGAAGGAAATTCAAAATTCATACCAATTTCTTAAAAATTTGGAAGGATTAGAAACTTTCCTTTTAGATGACATTTTTTCCTTTGAATTTCTGCTATTATATCGTGTAAGTTTATTGTTAGTCAATTTTACATTACATCTACCAACTGTGAGGTACTAAATTGAAAAATGTAAAAATACAGGGGGTGGAGTAAATTGAAACTTTCTAAACAATAGGGACTAAATTAAGAAAAATATCCGAATGTTAGGTATATATTTAACCAAACAATAGGGACTCCAACATAAATGCAGTAAAAGATGCATACATAGATGATGAAACTATATGAATCAAATTCCATCCAAATAATCTACTGAACTAATGGAAGGGCAAGGTTATCATTTTCAAGAATAATTGAATCAAACATATTGCTATACAATAGAAATATACAGCTAAGTGATGAATGTAAATACTAGACTTTCTTAGGTGAGGGCCCACCTATAAAAAAAATGAGATTGAGATCGATGAGGTTTTATAAGTGGAATGAGATTACTCATTTTTAGGATGTGATTTCCAAGTTTGAGATAGGTCCTATCAATTGATTTCATTCTTACATTCTTACAAGAAAATGAAAAGTTTTCATCCCTATTCCTCGATTCTCATTCTTTCGATGCGAATGGGCCTAAAGAATTTGCGAGAATCAAGAATTTAATAGTAAAACAAATTTGTAGGTTGTGTTTTTATTCTCCGTTCATTCGCAACATATTTTGACGATCTTTTAACCCTTAGCTATTTTGACTGTGCATGAAGGCAACTGAGCAATTCACACAGCATTCATCGTCCATCATTGCCCTAACAATTGGAGATTCTTTTGTACATTTAAATCTAATGTTTAGGTATATGTACATTTCATAGAAATCATTTCCGTTGTCCGAGGAAGAGTATCTGTTGCGGCTAGATGGTGTGGCTAATACATTAAAATGCTGGGGAGCCGTGGCTCACATTCGAAACAGCCTACACAAAACTAAAGACCGACCTCGGATCGGAAAGGTAAGGTTACGGAGAAATTGAAACGTTGCTGTAGTTTACCTGAAGTCTCAATTGTGTATGATAAATTAGCCCGTTAGAACTCTAAATTTTCAATTTTGTATTTAATAGGTCTTGTAGTCTTAAATGTTTTCAGATTTTGATTACCTTTGCTGCTTGTGTTTTTTTCTGGTAGTGTTTAGTTTCTAATGAAATATCATTGATTGGTATTGAAATTTTGCAGGCAGTCAGTATTTTTATCGACATGGACGAGTCTGGTGGCCGTGCAAAGGAGTGGATATACAAGTAGATTCGATTATTTATACGAACAAAATTAATTCACATGTATATTTAGTGTATATGTATTTTTTTTTTGTATAGGTAAAAATGTAACTAGTACGCATCTTATTTATTCAGATAACTCTATTTTTTTATGGGGTACTTTTGATACTAGAGAGTGGTTCTTTTCTTCCCACTAGGAATGGCAATGGCCGGGCAAGGTTGGGATGGGATAAGCATTCGCTTATTTATTAATGGTTAATTACAAAGCTAGTCTTTGTGGTTTATAGTGTTCACAGTTTGGGTCGGATTTAGGAGATTTTTTGGACCAACTCGATTTTTTTGGGTTGATAAGATCAGAGACCCGATGAAATTGAACATGATAGCCAACCCAACCCGAAATTGGGTCAGGTCGGGTTGCTTTTAATTTCATCTTTCAAATCTAGAAACCAATAGAAAGAAACAAGGTTGAGATTTCAATGGAAACAAAAAAAAAAACCCGAACTCAGAAAATCCATTGAAAGGCTTTCAACTTCCGGTTCCAAACAATCTAATAGAAAGAAATATGTGAAAAAATCTACTCAATGTAAACATGAAGTAGCCCTAACTTAACATTCACTCACGATCCCAATAGCTACTGATATATAGACGGCGACAACGACCAACAGCGATGGCATACGACGAAGGACTGTAGCGATGGACGACGATTTGTAACAGTGGGCGACGATCTACAGCCTGCGGCAACGAGCGACTACCGACGATCTGCAACCTACAGCAACGAGCGATGAAATTGTGATCTATAGGAGGCTGTTACGATTGGGAAATTGTACAAAGTAGGACATTTTTAATAGGGTTAAAGAGATTGAGGACCATATTTTTATTGAAAGAGTAGTAGGACTTTTTAAAGATGAAAAGTCGTAACTACCCCTCTTATAATTTTCCCCACATGAAACCTTCGATTTCGAAACTCCCTCTCACAAAAAAAAAAAACCCTCTCACACACCATTGATCTTCCATTTCTTCCGACGACCAAGCTTCCATTTTTTCGAGGATTGAGGCGACAACGGCGAGTGGTAACAATGACGAAGACGTGTGAGTTTGCTTCCATTTATTTCGACGACCAATCTTCCATTTCTTCTGACGACCAAACTTCCTTTTCTTCGCAGCACATGTGAACGACAACAAACTTCAATGAGTTTGCTTCAAGCAGCGACGACGAACTCTAGTGAGCTTGGTTTTAAGTACGTTCTTACTCGATAACTTAACCAAATACTATTTTAGTTCCTTCCGCCAATTTGCTTTATTTGGAGCTATTTTGATGGTATTGAGTCGATTAGAACTAAAATACAAGCAATAACCTATAAAAATACAAGAAAAAAATATTGAATGTAAAATGGTCATATCTTTTATTGTCGTTTCCTTTTACCAATTTTCTTTATTTGAAGCTATTTAGAAAATATATATGGTATTGAATAAATTGGCCGTTGTATTTTAGGTTCTTGCGTGACTTTCGACATTGCAAGGAAAAAATAAGAATGTAAAATGGTCATCTCTCTTGGGTATTCTCTTGTTTTACTTTTACCAATTTGCTTTATTTGAAGCTATTTAGAAAATATTAATGGTATTGAATCGATTGAAACCGATCTTACTTGGATTTTGTCATTGCGATATATTGCAAGAAAAATAAAAAAAATAAAAAATGTTCATCTCTCTTGGGATATTATTAATCGTGAAAAGGTGAATCATGATGTTTTTGTAAGTGTTAAAAGTTCTGTACTCAATATGGCATCATTATTGATCCCTTCCTATATAATAAAGTCGTCATATTATTTTTCGGTCTCAAGTAACTTGTCTATCCCACTTCGCGACGACAATTAAGAATATTAAGGATAAGTTCATACTTTGGATCATTTCTAGATGTAGATATAATATTTAATTCAAAAGAACACGCTTTGAATCATTTATGGATGTAGATATAATATTTAATGGGTAGTTGATCCATTATTTGTTATTGATCATGGAGGTGAAGCTGAAGAATAATATTTAAATTATGTTTGTATCATGTGTGGTAGGTATGGGCGTATGAATCTACATCAACCATGCGTGGTTATGTTGCAAAGAAATTGAATGAGAATGTTGGTCGTGTTCACAATCTCCATTAGCTAATTTTTTAGGTGAAGTGTTCGATATAAAGAATGTATGCAACAATTATAACATAAGGGTTTACTGTAATAACTATTTTATATTACCTGACTATTTTTCGATCTTTAAGATGGAAGTAAAAGAATTCATCGAGTTGACGGACGATGAAAAGTTGTCCATTCATGCAATTCGGGGTCAATCACCTCCCAAACCATGTCTCTCAACCGTCAATGTTACACCTCATCATACACCAATCTTCAAAAAACAGGATGTGACGACAACCCATGAAGACTCAAATAACATTCTAGAGATGAAGGATGACTTGAAGGACCATGTCTTGGGGATAGACCTACTTCAAGTGAAACTTACATTAGTAAGTGTATTGGAAAATCAATGTGAGATGAAACATATGTTAGCCAACATATTAAAGAGCCTTAAGCGAGAAAACAGGTACGCAGTCCTAATTCGTTTAGGGATAAGACTGTTATTAGTGTTTACTTACTACTTATAGCCATGATATAGGTCGATGATGAAAAATGTGTACAACTTAAAACTTCTAATGATAAGGGTTTGCCTAAGGATGTTTCTACACCTAGTTGGTTAAGGATGCCTTTAGAAAATGATGATAAGGTTAGGATCGAAAATGAAAAATGTGTACAACCTTCCATTCGGTATCATGGAGATTCAGATGTGAAACTTACATTAGAAAGCGTATTGAAAAATCAATGTGAGATGAAACGTATGTTGGCAAGCATATTCAAGAGCCTTAGCGAGAAGAACAGGTACGCAGTCCTAATTCGTTTAGGGATAAGACTGTGACTAGTGTTTACTTACTACTTATTGTCATGAAATAGGTCGAGGATGAAAAATCTGTACAACTTAAAACTTCTAATGATAAGGGTTTGCCTAGGGATATTTCTGATGCTTCTACAGCTAGTTGGTTGAGGATGCCTTTAGAAGATGATGATAAGGTTAGGAACGAGGATGAAAAATGTGTACAACCTTCCATTCAATATCATGGAGATTCAGATGTGACTGAGATTGCACCATTTGTCGTTGTACGATCTAACGTTCGTCGTGCACGTAAGAGGCGTGTTAGTACTTGGATCTTAGATCCATTTACAACTTTCAAGAAGAAGATTGATATTAACAAAGTAGACCAAAGTTTGAAAGAAACTCAAATTTCGTACAATCCAATGTATAAAATAGTACAATAGTACCAAGCGAGTTGGAACGCCTTAGACGATGAATAAATGACAAGAGTACAGATGACCATTTGTGCGACACTATCACTGGAAAGAAACCACATAGCTTTTTTAATGAATTGTTTAAGGCTCGAGAGTGGTTGTTTGATGTGGTAAAATAAAATTTTAACTTTCAACTATGTTTTTTTGGTATATTCGTTATTTATTATGGTTTGTTTTTATATAGCATCTAGATTCTACTTTCCTATTCTTTCGTTTAAAGCTAAAATCTGTGGAAAATTTGTGTTCACAGAACTTTATGACAATACACATCCATATTACATATATTTAAATTTGTACATAATCACAAACATTTTTTAATATGGTGAGTGCACATCCATATTACATGTTTTTGAATTTGCATCGTTATCTCGGAGTAATGTGGAAACTATATCAACAAGTGTTGTCAAGATAATCTTACATTCAATTGGCAAGTTGAATAAAAATTGATCAATTATGTTATTATCCAGTTGGGTGTTTGCTACTGTCACCGCCTCAATCATCGGAAAGATTATCTTGACATAATTGATCAATTTGTAATTGCCAATTGAATGTAAGATTATTTTGACAAGACAATTGATATAGTTTCTACGTTACTCCAAGATAACATTGCAAATTCAAAAACATGAAATATGGATGTGCACTTCCCATATTAAAAAATGTTTAAGATTATGTACAAATTTAAATATATCTAATATGGATGTGTACTTACCAAGAAGACGGTGTCCACTATCGTAAAGTTTTGTGAACACAAATTTTCCACGAATTTTAGCTTTAAAGAAATGAATAGGAAAGTAAAATCTAGATGTTGTATAAAAACAAACCATAATAAATAATGAATAACGAATATACCAAAAAACATAGTTGAAAGTTAAAATTTTATTTTACCTCATCAGACAACCACTCTCGAGCCTTAAACAATTCTTTAAAAAAGCTACTTGGTTTCTTTCCAGTGATGGTGTCGCACAAATGGTCATATGTACTCTTGTCATTTATCCATCGCCTAAGTCATTCCAACTAGCTTGGTACTATTTTATGCTTTGGATTATTGTGCGAAATTCGAGTTTCTTTCCAACTTTGGTCTACTTTGTTAGTATCCATCTTCCTCTTGAAAGTTGTATTTAAGGTCCAAGTACTAGCACGTCTCTTACGTGCATGACGAACATTAGATCGTACAATTACAAAGGGTGCGATCTCAGTCACATCTGAATCTCCATGATACTGAACGAAAGGTTGTAGGCATTTTTCATCCTCGTTCCTAACCTTATCATGATCCTCAATATAAGATTGTAGCACATCGCTCCTAACCTTATCATGATTCTCAATAGAAAGTTGTTGCACCTCATTCTTAACCTTATCATCATCTTCTACAGACATCCTTAACCAACTAGATGTAGAAGCATAAGAGACATCTTTAGGCAAACCCTTATCATCAGAAGTTTTAAGTTGTACACATTTTTCATCCTCGACCTATATCATGGCTATAAGCAGTAAGTAAACAATAATAACAATCTTATCCCTAAACGAATGAGGACTGCGTACCTGTTTTTCTCACTTAAGGCTCTTTAATATGCTTGCTAACATACGTTTCATCTCACATTGATTTTCCAATACGCTTCCTAATGTAAGTTTCACTTTAAGTAGGTTTTTCTCCATCCCAAACATGGGTCTTTAAGTCACCCTTCACCTTTGGAGTCTGGAATGTTACTTGAGTCTTCCTGAGGTGTCGTCAAATCCTGTTTTTGAAGATTGGTGTATAATAGGGTGTAACATTGACGGTTGGGAGATATAGTTTGGGAGGTGATTGACCTTTAATTGCCTGAATCGACAACATTTCATCGTCCGTCAACTCGAGGAATTCTTTAACTTCTATCTAAAATATCGAAAAATAGTTAGGTAATATAATATAGTTATTATAGTAAACTCTTATGTTACAATTGTTGCATACCTTCTTTACGTCAAACACTTCACTCTCTAAAAAATTAGTTAAGAGAGATTGTGAACACGACCAACGAAACATGCGAGGGATAACATTCTCATCAAATTTCTTTGCAACATAACCACTCATGGTCGATATAGACTCATATGCCCATGTCTACAACACATGACACAAACATAATTTAAGTATGGAAGTTTATTATATACATAAAATTAGGTAAAATAATTAAAATACCTGTAATGTAAGTGGAACCTGGCTTATACTATATTTTTTGATTAGATGTCCAAGCATTTCTCAATGCTTTCTTTAGCCCATTCAACATGCATTCATATATTATTGAGCCCCAATCATAACTATCAAATGTAGACCAATCATCTACAAATGAAAGCGATTTAGTGTCGATTTTCATTTCCTTATCCTTCCCCAACAAAGCAACTCTACGAGGTATATCAGTGCCAACATTACCCTATCCTCATCATCACCCTCGAAATTTAAAAACTTATTTTTTTATCTCATTTGCTGAGATAGACCCTTATCATTAAAAGACATCTTTCGAAGTATATGACTTAATTTGGTCCCACTTGTACAACTTCCACAACACCAGTTACCATATCAAACTCCTTTCTTGAAAAGGTACGCACCACCCTTCCTCCCATAAAGCTAATACAATCATTATTCAAACCTCCATCAATAACAAATAATGGATCGACTGCCCATAAAATATTATATCTACGTCCAGAAATGATTCAAAGCGTGTTCTTCTGAACATCTCTAGTTGAGTATGACTCAACTCATCTTTGATATTCTTAATTGTCATCGTTAAGTGGGATGAACAACTTACTTGAGACTGAAAATGATCTGACGGCTTTATTATATACGAAGAGATCGATAACGATGTCATATTGAGTATAGAATTTTTAACACCTACAAACATCATGATTCACCATGTCATAATTAAGAATATCCAAGAGAGATAATCATTTTA